CTTCAGCGCCGGGCTTCTTGGGGTGGGCCTGGCACCCGAAAGTATATGTATACTGTATTAATATATATATATATATATACATATTGACTGTGGCTCATCTCCGGCCACGAGTTTTCACACGGGTTCCCCCCCCTGCGATTTTTCTTCGTCCTGCCGGGCCGACCCCTCCTGTTGGACCCCTCCTCGGAGACCCGCCAGGGCTGCGGGCCACCTTCTTTGCCGTGGACGAGCTGGTGAAGCTCTTCACGCTCCTGCCGCTGCCTCGGACGGACGTCCGTCGCACGGCTCGCCTTGGGGACGGAGGGGACGGACGGACGGATTTGGGCTCGGGCGGTGGCGTTTGGTTGGACCCCCGGGGGGGCCCCAGTTGGGCCCAAAACAAAAGGGGGTCCAGATGTGCTGCAAAAGAATCCAGCCCCTACTGAACCAACAAAAATTGGGGGGGGGGGGGAGGGTCCCCTCGAGAATAGACAGACCCAAATCTGGGTTTGGACAATTTTGGGTCTGGACTTTGTGGATAAGTCAGAGTAGGAAGCGAGAAGTAGGCTGCCACGGCTAGACGCACGTGTAGTATTGCGGAACTCTGACAACGTCTCAGGGTTTGGACATTTCCGGCGGTATCAAACACGCATGCAGGCAGGGCAGGCAGGCACGCACGCAGGCAAGCACACACAAGCGGAATCTGCTTGGAGCTTGGAGCATTCTCTTTTCACATTTGGATATGCCTTTGAATGAGTGGAATACCCTCAAAATTTGTCCAGCACCCCAACAACTATCCAAAATCAGAAGTACTGTCCCAGAAGCAGTTGTTGGGTGCTGGGGGGACATATGTTGTTCATGTTTTCTGGTATCGCTGACTAAAGAGTCAGGCGGTGTCGCCATGTTTGGATCCCGTTCTTGGTGCGTCTTTTATGAAGGGACTCTATTGGCTGGCTGGAAGCCAACCAGGAAACCAATGGCCATGTGGGCTTCCCATCTTGAGACAGCCATTGCCGACACACCAGCGGGACCCCCAAGTAGTGACGATGGAGTTCGGCTTTGGTGTCGCAGCGGGATTTTCCGCAACCATACCCCAGGCCCTACGCGGTGTCGGTGATCCTGATCTTCATCGGCACAAAGCTGGTACGCTTCCCAGTGCAAACAACGGACGCGGTTCCCAGCTATACCCTTTGACTGTTAGTTTTTCAGGCGATAGAGAGAATTAGATAGCATATCCCACTCCCACTTGAAAAGTTGATCTTTTGGTAGCGGTTTTTGTTGCCGCAAATCGTTCCAGCCGTGCCTCGGCGCCAGCCAGGTGACAAGAGGGGGATGCCCCAGTTTTGGTATCACAGGAACGGTGATTTGGTTTTCGGTTTTTGGGGAGCCGTCTGTTGGTTGGTGTTCACGGGAAACCAAGAGGAAAGCCGAAAGCCACTTTTTGGGGGGCGTCTTCAACTTTACGCCTTGGGCCCGAGGCTGCGTATAGAAAAATAGTGGGCCCGACGCTTTGTCGAACCAGGACACAGGAAGCTGCTTGAGAGGAGCCCCAAAAAACGCCCAAACAGGAAGCTTCTACAGGAGGTAACAACATGTCTTCCTCATGAGTCATTAATGGTGTGTCATCAAGAATAAGCCATAAAAATGCATTTCAAAGAAGCATCCGGAAAGTGGAATTGCGGGGGTTTGAAATGGAATTCCGTTTCAAGTTCCATTTGGGCGGGGAAGAGGCCCTCTCTCAAAGGGGCCGACTCGAATCATGACTAGGCTTTGGGTGGTTTGGCGCCCGCTGGTTTGGATTTGAGCCCCTTGTAGAGGGGGGGGTCAACGGGAAACTTCCACTCCAAACCACCGCTTCTATTTTTTTTCCTGAAAACATCTTCTTCATTTTCCCTGGTGTTCTCAAGGGCATCGATTCCGCTACTAGGCACATGTTCTCGTTTTTGTTTTTCCAAGCGAACAAGCAAACGGAAGACCGCCAGGGTTCCACTTTTTGACTACCCCAAGATGGACTTAAACCCAGGGGTTCTCCTTTTGGGAGGAATGAACCACCCTTGGGTTTAAGTCTATCTTGGGGTAGTCAAAAAGTGGAACCCTGGGAAGACCAGTTAGAGGGAAGCCTTCGCCAGGAGCTTTTCCTTACGGCAGCGCCTTGCAAGGTGCTCCGTGGCTGGATCCACATTCCAGCGGAGGCAATGAGCGGGGCAGCCGGGGCCAACGGGGCGAACGTCTGCGCCCAAACTCCGCAAAAGTTTTTTGGTGGTTCGACTGCCTGAGTTCACGAGGGTTTTGGTGAGGGCTGTATAAGCCTTTATACGTCAACTGGTTTTGTAACCGCTTCTCATGTGTTGTGTTCGCTGGATTGGTCCATATTCGATTGTTGGGTTTGGGTTTGAGCTTGAATCGGCCATCTTGGCCACATGTAATTATAGCCTTCCACCCTGCTGTACGAAGCTTGTATAGCACTCATAGAAGGTATATGCTGCCTTGCAAGCTGAATCAGGCTTTTTGCCAGGTGGTGTGCATGACCCTTGTGGGCGTCCTCTTGGTGAGCAGGGTGCCAAGACGATCACTCGACGCTTCGAGAGCAACCCTCGACAAGCGAACAGCGCACCCGCTATGAGCAGAAGCCATCGGGGGGTCAGCTCGAGGGTCCTCATTTGTGCCCCTTTTTGGGGGGAGGGATGCAAAGATTCCTATTTCAGAGATCGGCACGAAATTCCAACTCAAAGGCAGTGAGCAACCTACATCCAACCACCAACCCCCGGAAAGCTGCGTTTTTTGTGGTGTGTGTGTGTGTGTGTCCAGCTTGTTCCCCTGCTAGCAATACTTAGGCCTTTGAGCAGGACGATCCCGTAATCAATCTAAAGTTTGACGGACTGCGCCAAAGAAACGCCCCGCCTTTTTGGAGACGTTCCACACCCCAAGTTGACAGTCAACCGGTCCCCAAGAGCGCAGTAATGCCTTTCGTCACGCACATGGATAAGCGCATCGGCTCGACTGCACAGGATAAGCACATCCGATCGACTGCGAGCGTGCAGCGGTGCTTTTTGTCACGACCATGGGAAGCACATCCGCTCCCCTGCGTTCGCGCAGCAATGCTTATTGCCAGGCACATGACAAGTACGTCCGCCCCACTGCGCGCAGCAATGCTTTTGGTGTCCAAGTAAGCGCATCCGCTCGCTTTCTGTCAGGAACATGGTAAGCGCATCTGCTCAACTGCGCGTGCGCAGCAATGCTTACTGTCAGGCACATGATAAGCACCTCCGCGCCACTGCCTGCGCGCAGCACTGCCTGTCGTTACGCACATGGTAGGCTCACTCGCTCCACTGCGCATGATAAGCGCGTCCACTCGCATGTGCGCTGCAATGCTTTTCGTCACGCGCGTGATACGCGCATCCTCTCTCCTGCGAGTACCAGTGGCGGCGCACCAATCAGAAGCACCTCGTGTTCGATTGCCTCGGCGACTTGTTGAGAAAGGCATAGCCAGTTTTGATATCTGCAAAGACTGGCTGGCAAAAGAAGCAGACGTCCGAAGCTTTGCCTGCCGGGGAAGGAGTTTGGCTATGGTGACTTCGCCTTAACGCCAACAAACCAAAAAAGAGAACACCGTCATGAGGGTTTGAGCGCACTCGTGTTGACGAGTTGAGGCATCAGTTTCCGTTTCGCTGAGTCGAAACACCGTATTTACCGGGAAAAATAACGGTTCAGACATGACTGCGAAACGAAAAAGGCAGGGGGCGGTCCTTTTGGCGCCGACACCAGGCCAAAAGCCCAACAGCCCAGCAGCTCAACACCTCAAGCAGCGACCACACAGTCAAGCACCCCAACAGCCCAACAACCCAACAGCCAGCCCAACAGCACAAGAGCCTGCAGCCCGGCAAAGGCAAAAGCCTAACGCAGCCCGGCAAAAGCAACAGCCAACAGCTCGACAGCCCAACAACCCAACAGAACAGCTTAACAACCCAACAGCATAGCAGCCCAACCTCCCGAACCCAGCAGTCAACAACCGAGCGGCCCAACAACCCAAGAACAACCAACAGCCCCACAGCCCAACAGCGCAGCAAAGCAGCAGCCCAACAAAACCGTTTCTTCTTTGGAAGATTTTGTTGAGTCTTTCCAGGCTCAGGTCTCAGTCTCCTCGCGAAGAGTCAGCATCCAATGGTTGACAGTCTGCGTGAGAAATGTTGCAAAGTGTCAGCTTTTTATCTTTGAAGTTGATTTTCTCAGTTGGAAGTTCGCAAGCAAGGTGAGGCAATGATGGGGTCGGAGAAGTTGTTGAACAATTTGTGTCTCCTGACACAAAAAATGATGATTTTAAAAATATGGACTTGAGTCTCGATGGATGGGTTGGAGGTGGGACAGGAGGAAGTGCTGTGAGTGTGTTCATGTAGCACCGACACCACGTGTTTGACCATGAACCGGGGCGGTCGGGTGTGCTCAAAAAGTATGTTGGGCTCTTTGGTTCCCGGGAAAGGTTTCTTAGAACCATCGTGCACGGTTCTGATCGGAGGGTGTCTGAAGACGATCTTCTGAAGAACTCGCCTTTCCGCCGTTTTTTTCTTTTTTTCATTCACATGCGCGCCTTCCGCTTCCTCCCGGCGTCTTGATTCGGCCAAGGTATGGCCGCGTCGATGGTGTACGACCGCTTGTATCCCAAGGCGGGGAAAGCGGGGCGATCGAAAGCGGCCCTCTCGCGATGGGCAGCTTCCAGTCTGAGAACGGATCCGTCCGGGGTGGGAAGCCAAAGGTGTCCCAAAACGAAAAGCCTCGGCAGCTGTTGGGGACCACAGCTTCGGGAAGTACCCAGATTGGGTGTTGGACATAATTATTCAGATGAAGAGAGGGATGGGTGAAGAAAAAAGGCGGGAACCAAAAGTTAGATCTTTGGGTGACGAAATGTCCTGCAATGTCCGGCTGGGATACAACACCTTTGCCATGGAACGCACCAGAGAAATGGCCATGCCAGATGGGAGGTGCTAGGTGAATCTTTCTTTTCACTGGTCCCGGGCCCCTTGAGCCGTGTGGATGTGTGTTTTTCCCGGTACCCTCTTTGTCGTGTGTTCCCCTGTTTGACGCAGCCATGTGGTTTTCTCGAGCCCGGGCTTCACAAGGAGCTTGAGCTTGGCGCTCTTGGGATCAAGTTCATTTTGCGGAAGATGGAAGGCAGAGGGAAAATACGCCAGTGGCTTCCTCTTGTCGTCTTCTTATCCGTTTTTGGAACTCTCACATGTGGTCTTAGTTCCGCTTGCGCCGTCTGCGGAAAGGCCAATGATCAGGCAACTTCCGGAGGCTTTTGCAGGGAACCCCTGCATCTCTCACATCATGGCAAAGAGTACCAGCCAACAACTGCCAGGGTACTCACAAGTCCCTTTGGAGGGATCAACCCAAGGTGGCTGGAAAGGCCGGTTGCCTGAAACATGGCGCCATGTTTGGTAACTCTTCGTACGTACTGCTCGGGACCGCCCCTTTGCACAGGATGACGACGAGGACAACGCGGAAACCTGAGAAGCCGCGACGAGTTTCATGGGGTTCGCCGTGACGGGTCGCTATGGGCTCTCCATTCAAGGGTCCGGGTTTCTTCATTGGAGGAGTCACGAGCGTTGGGGACCTTGCCATTTCCCAAGGACAAAAATCATAGGGGGCCACTCAAAACAGATTCCCTGGCACCGTCCCGTGTTTGCGCTGTTGCCGCGGTTGCACTTCCCTGACTCTTCGTTTCGCTTTGCCACTTGCTGTGAGTGGCCAAATGCATCCCCTTTGAAGTGAGATAGTCGGGGACGGACATACTTTTGATGCTGAGCCTCAAGAAGTGGTTGTGGACATGACTCCACACCAATAGTATCCATTGGAAAACAAGATCACACCCACCTCGGTGCAGAAAGGACATGAGTCACTTGCTCAAAACCCAGGTAGATGAAGGTTAGTGAGGGACAACCCCAACCATTAGCTGCGGACATCCGCCTTCAAAATTCTTGAAGCATGCTGGGAGACCTTTTTTCCCCCGTTTATTTTTGAGTAAACATGGTTCTGGGAATCGACCATTTTAATACCGGGCTTTGAGCAAGTGACTCCCCTGGCGCCCATTTCCGACAACGGCCGCTGGCGCAGCGCTACGTTTTCAGGTGAAGCCCTACGTGAGCCCCGTCTCGGCGGACCACCACAAGCGCTTCTTTGAAAAGGCTTCTGCCGCTCGGTCCAATTCCACCTAGAGTCCATGACCCCTAGAAAAAGGGTCAGAACCCCTTAATTTTAGGTAATGTCCTCATTTTTCAAGGGTCATGGAGACTCCAGGCAGCCACTGCAGGACCTAGTAGCTGTTCCAATGCCAGCGAACAATGCGTCCACGTCTTCGGCGGCCGAATCCCCGAAGGGGATGGTTTCATTAAGAGACGCAGCGCCTCTATGATTCAGTATGCTCTTTATCTTGCGGAGACGTTCTTGGTATCCAGAAAGAGGTATCGAGATTTTGATAAAAGGATCCTGAAGGTTTGTTAATCGCGTGGTTCAACCGCTTAACTGCAATCCAAAGAGCGGTTCCTGCAGGTTGGCTACAGAATTGAAAAAAACAACTGGGAGTTCGTGGCGTGGTTCGAGTTGAGCAGCATGCTGAACCAAACTTTTCGACCTGAGCCGTGCAGTCTTGGCCGTACTTTCCCCCTCCCCCCCCCCCTCGCGGCAAGCCAAGCAAGCAACGTGGTGGAGCAAAGCTGCTGGAGCGCCTCAAAAAGAGCGAAGCCGCAAATCGAAAAGTGACCCCAAGGGTCCCCAGGAACTCTCACGGGATCCATATCGCAAACCATCCCAACTCGGCTTATTGGACCGCTGTGGGGAAAAGGGCAGCCTTTGTTGGTTGATCCAAAGGTCCTCTTGGGATGACCCTTCGGGAGACCACCCAAGAAACACTCACCCCTAAATACTGAACATGTTACCCATGGTCATTTTGGGCCCCAAAGCGGCGTAGTTCGGACAAGTAGGTGAAGACGAACTGGGATACAATCGTGTTCTTCAGGCCCACCGTATTCCAAAAGGGCCGTGGGGTACTTAAGAACAAAACAAAGTGGCTTGATGGTAGCAAGTTTTTTCGGCCGCCCCCTTTCCAATCATGGAAGCTGACGGGGTTTTGGAAGCCACCCCCGCCCTCTTGGGCAGCTTTTGTCCGCGTTTACTTGCTGAGGCCGACGACACGGACGCCTGACAGACAAAAGGCAAAAGCAAAATGGGACGGATGCAATCCCAGGGGGGAGGGTGAAAATAGGCACAATTTTCTCCCAATTCGGGTTTGCAAACCGGCTTTTGCTCGCAAGGGAACTGGGGCCATTTGCTTCCATCGTAAGAAGATGACTTTTTCTTCTGTTGTTTCCCCCGGTTGGTGTTAAAGGGACGCTATCACTTGAGAACATACTTTTATATTTTTTCACGTGGCTTAAGCAAATGGATGACTGCTTTCACCGTGTAAACTGCTTTGCGATTTATGCCTGGGGTCCCGGCGGTTCTAAAACTGATCGAGCAGTCGTGTTGAGGGGATACTGGCTGTGATGACCGATGACTAGATTGCTGTTTTTTGGTTGGTTGGTTGGTTTGGTTGGTTTTCTGTGTTTTGTTTGCTTACTTAGTTCTTTTTTCATTTTTCTTTTGTTCTTTCTTTCGTCGTTTCTTTGTTTCTTTGCTTCTTTGTTTCTTTCTTTCATGTTTGCGGCCTTGATTCATTTTGCTCACCATGGACTAGCACAGATGGGGGGGTCGCTGTGGCGCCTGTGTTTCTGAAACGTAACGAAAGCACTGGAATTGTCCCGCTTAAGCTATGTCGGGGTGGGCTGAAGCAGCTCTGGCCAAATTGCCCATCTTTCTTGCCAAATGTCTTCGCAGTTTGCATCCGAAATGCTTCCTCCCAATTTCGGGTCCCGGGAAGACCGGGAATTGAAGGATCGGAGGTTCAGCCGATCGCCTGCGGGCTTTCCGAGGGCCCGGCATTGGTTTGTTTCCGGGGTTGGCAAACAGAGATCGGAAGCCCAGGAAAAAAACTATCCTTACCAGTTCCTCGTTTCTGGTACGCGAATTGCCGATGCTGAGACTTCTGGGTGGCTTCTGGTAGCAGATGCCGATTTGTTGTTGCCCAAGAGAACCGTGACGTCCATCTTCCAGGTGGTGCCAATGGTCGTTGAATAGCCCAAAGACGTGTTGTTGGATTCGGATTAGGATGCTGTACCCCTTGTTGAGGTTGATTTAAAGAGAAATCACAAGGAACACCGAAGCCATTTTGGGCGTCCCCCTGTTTCGACACATTCTGACAGTAGGCAACCGACAGTTCTTACCGAACTTGGTAGCTCCGGGATCGATTCTGAGCTTGAACTGCCCAGCTCATCCGGTGATAGGATCGATGTGACTGGCACAATTCGGGCCGGTGATCCACGCTTTTGCTCGAGCCCTTAGTAATGAGCGGGGTCGATCAGACGGAATGACGAAACCACCCGGAGTTGATGTGAACCTCGAAGTGACCAAACTACTTGATAGAAGATTATAGAAGATTGGTAGAAGCGCTCTTGTTTTCCAGAGGCCAAGTTTCCAGCTCTCACAGGGCCCCCGAAACAAACCCTGGTAGCCGGAAGGCCGATTCCTCCACAAAGGCCAGAGCCGTCCTGGCCTTTGAAGCCAGTGGAGTCAAGACACCCGACGCTAGCACTCCTACTCCCCCCCCAAAGAAGAAGAGTATATATAGTTTGTAATATACGTATACAAAAACAAACACAAATCGTGATACCTGGTTGCTGTCAACTGGCGATGACTTTTCCTGGGGGCCGTGCAAAATCGGAAGGGCCGATTTTGTTTCCCGGAGGTTCATCAAAGGGTCCAACAGATCACTCATGCCCAGTGGCCCTTGGGGGGGGGCGAAGCGCCCACGGCGGCCCTGCAACCCTGGCGCGCAGCCCGCGCAACATGCGCCGAGCTCTCGCCGCGCTCTTGCTGGGAGGACGGATTGGGGTGACGTGTTTGTGAGTGCCCCCCACCTTTTCAGGCTCAGGGATGGCAATTTTGGGTCAAGCCCACTTTGAGTCGGAAGCTCCTTTTTTGCGGACTGGGGGGGGGGGGCACTGGGGTGGCAAGTTGAGTCTCTTTCGGACTTGGGGGGTAGCACCTTAGCACCTCTCCTCCTTTTTGCGGACTTGGGGGGGGGGGCGCTTGGGTGGCAATTTGGGCAGGAACTGCTCCGCCTTTCTTCTTTTTTGCCGCGGTGCGATCAAACCTGGAACATGGGCTGGCGATGCTCGAGGGACAGCTCTCCTTCGACTCTTCGTTGGCCCTGAACTTGGTGAATCCCAGCCTTTCGGTGCCTTAGCCTTTTTCTGTTTAGTGGGTGTGAAAGTTTCCGTTGAACCCAGTAAAAGTCAACCCTTTAGCAGGGGATCTGAAGACAGCCATGTGAAGTAACTAGAGTGAGGCCAAGCGCAGCCTGCCGGTCTCGGTATTGCCCACTTGAATCCTTTACTCAAAGCTTGGTACCCGAAGCCGTCATACTCGAGCTGTTGGCGTTCACTCATCAATAATTAAGTTGTGTGCGTGTGTGTGTGTGCAGTTTTTGTGGTCTCACGCGGGACTGATCGCGTGCATGTTCACATACCCTTTTTCCAGCAATGACAGTGAAGGCAAAATTGGGCGTGGGCGTTGGGAGACTGCCAGGGCTCCTGTGTTGCTGAACAATTTGAAGCAATGACCAACATTTTGGTGGAACACTGGCACGGGGTCCTCTATCTTTTGGCAATGTTGACCCCGGATTAATAAACCCCTGTTTATCAAAATGGGGGTGTTCCCCTCCAAAAGTGATGAATCCCCACTAAAGCCAGGGACACCCCCACATTAATAAGCAGGGGTTTATTCCTCCGGGGTCAGCATTTCTCTGACACCGCCAGGAGTTCACGGAGGGGCGCCAGGAGAGTTGGAGGGTTTCGGTTTGAGCTGTTCAATATGGCTCGTCAAAACCCGATGGGATTTCCAGTAGTGATAGATTCCCTCTAAAAACCAGCAGCGGGAAAAACAAATCATTTGGCTGTGGGTCAAAACCCAATGGGATCCATGTTGGGGTAGGTGCACCGCCCATTTTAGTCCAGTGGGGATCGAATCGGATGTTCACTGGGGGTACGATTTGGATTTTGGCCCATGGCCATATGGGGGTTGATCGAAAATGTCCTTCAAGTACACGGGGTGACCATTTGGGACACCACCAAAAAAGTCGCATGGCCAAAAGTGAATTGTGTATAATGGAAAAAAACAACCACCAAAGAAAAAACATGGCCAAAAGTTAATTCTCCATGGTTATTTTGGGGCCGAAGTGAAGGTTGATCAACGCCCCATTTGTTCGGTGTGGATGAGGACTGTGGCCAAGGCTTTGGCACCCCGAGCTTGGCAAGGTCCCCAGTGCCCTTTTCTCACCCTTTTTTTTGGGGGAGGGTTCCCCTGCTAAAATTGACGTCCAGAAAAAAATAGGGTACCAACTTATTCTAACCTCAATTCTGGGGGACCTAGTAAAGACCACACCTTCATCCGCTTCCACCTTTTCCGAGGCTGCCCCAAGATTACGAGGCAGCCGGAGCCAAAAGGGTACCCTTATTCCATCCTCTCCACTGGACCTAGTTGGGCTCCAAGGCCCAGCAGACCCTGGCAAATTGGCCAAAACTGGGCGATGGACTCGGTTTCCACCCAGCACCCCGTGATAGCCGGAGGGTGTGATCAGGGGTCATACTGGATTCTTGAAAGTGGTGAGTGGAACTGTTCCCCACTTTCGCATCTCTTCAGACGCCTCGCGAGCTGAGCTTACGAGTGAGCAGATTCCCAGACTCCAGTGGCGCCCTTGTTTCCTTTTTGAAAGGGTTTCCCTTGACAGCCACCAAAAAGGACTTCCCCTGTGTTGCAAAGCCCTGTTCCCACCTTCTGACCCAGAATGGAGCCGCTCGCCTTGCGAGCGACAAATTGTGCGTGTTTCCACCCGAATCGATTGCAGGAGCCGAGCAGGAGACGGTCGGGTTGGGATCGCTGCGCTGGTTGAGTTGCGCTTTCGTGTTTGGATGGAGTGGGCTAGAGAACTCGTCTCCGCGGCAGTTCTCTCCGGTGCCCCCCCCCCCGAAAAAGAGAGAGTGCCTTCCAAAAAGAAGCTGGCAGAATTTGCCACTGGTGGATGAATTGCTCCGGAGAAGACTCAAACCCAGTGGCACCTGCACCGTTTCCATAGGAGAACCGCACAGCGCAGGCGCGCCGACCTTTAAGGGATGGGGTGATTTCGCACCAATAACGTTGAACTAAGAATCCGTTTGACCATCAGAGCTTAATCCATGGATGTTCGCATTAGATTCGGAGGTTCCCAAAACAGAAGGCCGATACTGGCCTGCTGAACAGAGACCAGAAAAAATGAACATGAAATCCGAGGATCGCAAGTAGGTTGAGGCTTGAGATGCAACCACCAGCGGAGAGGGTCTTGTAAGTTCTATCTGACAAGGGCACGAGCAAGTGCCAGTACGGCAAATCTCGCCGGCGCCACGAGCGCCTCCAATCAGAACACGCTGTGCAACAACGGCTTGTGCCAAGCCCCTATGTTACGTGGGCGGTCTGACCTTTTGTGAGTTTTGTGGGGCGCTTTTCCATGGGAAAGCAAGCTTGTTTGAACTTTGGGCTGGGTTGTGGGAAATGACCACTTCTGTGATACAACAAAAAGGGCTTCCCAAAGAATAACACCCCATATACAGAGGGAGACTCCCTTGTATCACAGAAGTGGGAATAAACCCCTTGATTCCACAACCCTGTGATAAAAACAAAGACACAGTTTGGCCTGTTGTGTGGCCTAACAGGAAGTGAGCTTGCTCTGCTTGGCTGGGTTTAGCACATGCTTGTCGACAAGTCAAGCACCAGTGTTTCCTTTGGAGAGTCATTCGATGGGGGCATATTTGCCACGGCCATCCGGCCCCTGTACTTGGGTTTGGTAAGGATGGTCACCAAGCACTTGGGATTCTACACTGCGATGGGAAGTACTCCTAAACACCATCAGCACTGGAAGTGGTACACTATGAATGGGCAAGTGGTACACCAGCTTTGCATCTACAACTGCAGGTCTCCACCATGATATGTCCCTTGGATAAACCACCTGTGCCAGAAGTGTCCTGTGCCTTTGAAACTCAGAGCTCCTCAATGCCCAATGCATGCATCCCACATGCGTGTCATTGGTTTCCAACAAACCAAAGACATGCATGGAAGAGGCACACTGCAGCTGCTGTTCTTTTACTGCGTGCTGCAGGGGCGATGACTTGAACTACATGTCGTGCCGTACACTCATGACGCTGTGAGCCACACTGCAACTTGCTTCTTGCACTGATGTGGCTGACATGGTTACCTCAATAGCCTTGGCCTCAGCTGCACGGTTATCTTTGTTAATTGGAAGCACCACAGTGAGGCTGAAAATCATTGCGCGTGTTCAGGCACATGTCACCCATGCTTCTCATGCGCCTGCCAACAGCGCGTCCGGTGCCCCTCAAAATACGCCCTGCTTGCTTCGCTGCTGCAAATCAGCTGCCCGAGCAGTCCCCCAGCTTACTTCTCAATAGTTTCTCAGTTGTCTGCTGCCTCAACGCGTTCTCAACACTCTCTCAAGACGTTCTCACCATTTTCTCGCCGTTTTCTCAACCACTTCCCTAGTCCACGTCTCCAATGATTGTCAATCATCTCTCAAAAGGTTCTCACACATTTGTCACCATGGTTCGTGAAGGCCCGCACACACACACACACCAACAACAGATGGAACATTGGAATGCCACTTCCCACTCATAGTAAACTACTTCCTTCCAAGGGAGCCATGATCATTCATGGCCCACGGAGACGGAGTTCTGACTGCGGGTGTGTTTCTTGGAGGGAAAAAGGGGGATCATTGGAGAAAAGACACCCAGTGCGGGAGCCAGTCCTACAATTGACAAACCATGTGCCTGCATGTGCCTGTTGTGCTTCGTGGAGCCAGATGAGCTTTCACCGCGGGCGTGCCACGCATGTCCAAACCCCGGGCACTATAGAAATAGTTTCTGGGTGAATTTTAACGACCTCACACGACCGAATTCACCCCAAATGGTGGTTTATGTGGGGAATGGCCCCCCAACCATCAACCATTTTAGGTGGGTGAAATATTATAATTCACCCAGACCCCTTTTGTTGCGGTGTCAGGGGAAACCACCATTTTGGGTGTCGCTCAAAAAAAGGACACCCAAAATCAAAGCCCGAGCCGGAGCCAGTGCTATAATTCACCCAGATAGTTTGGTCTGGTTCTCTGGGTAAAAAGTCCCGGGCGCCTTTGGGCTGGATGAAATCCAGCGCTGTGACGTGCACTCGACGCAGGTGCTGCTGCAACGCCTCGTCATCAAGGCGCAAAACACGTGGCTCCAGCCGCTGATTTTAGTGGGGCCAAAGATGGCGCAGCGGTTTTCAGGTTGGTTGCCCTTTAGTCACCAAAAAGCTTCCATGGCTTAAGACTATTTGTTATTTGCTCTTGTTGGTGTTGAAAGGAATTTATCCCGACTGGAAATATGTTATTCTTTCCAGGGGTCTTAGCCAAATGGAAGAAAGGGGGTACCCTCAAAGTCACACACACACACATCTCGGCCCTGAAAATGGTTGGTTTCCTTTTCGTTTCCACAACCTCCCAGTATGCTAGCGGCTGTCTCTGAACAATATGTTTCAAGAACCACAGGGCACGCGGGACGTGCAGACTCGCGGGAGAGAAACCTGACAAGCAACGCATGCTGCTTGTCTCTGCCTTTATGGCGGGCGAAATAGATTGCGCGCAGGTGTTCAACATCAAGTCGCATGTGTTGAAAAATGCCATTCAACATGATCGCAACAGTCAAAAAATGGGGGGGGGGGTGAATATACTATGTTTTGTCCGTGTGTACATATGCAATGTAACGTAATGCAGCGCAATGCATACGTTCTTACGTACTCACGTACGCGTGTATGTATATGCGCGAATCTATATGTAGATAGGTAGTCTAGGTAGCTAGGTTTGTAGGTACGTAGGTAGGCAGGCCAAGATGGAAGCTTGCGAGCTGCATGCGGGACATGGGGTTTTAGCCTTCCATTTGCTGAAACGTTTTTTTTTTTTTCTTCTTCTTCTTTTTGTTTTCTTTTTTTTCCCTTGTTGGTTTTGAAGGGAATCCATCACTACTGGACACATTTTCATTCTGGCACCAACTACCAGCTTGGCCGGAATTTGTCCTCTGCATTCTTGTCCTGGAATTTTCTTGGGAGACTTGAATTGGGTCCTCTTCTCCAGAAAAAAAAACAAAAAAACTGGGAGGTATTTCCAAAACTATGTCCAAAACTCCAGAATTTTTTGTGAGAAGTCTTCGCCCTGCGTTTTTTTTGGGTCTCCCCCCAGGCGGACGAGCACTTCCCGGGTTTGGGCGTGGAGCCCACGCTCTTCCAGGCCCTTGGGGCGCGGGATCGAGCGGGCGGGCGCGCGCTCGGTGGGTGAAAGAGACGGGGGTTGGATGGGTGGTGGTCTAACGATAGGGATCGGGTACTAGGTTGTTGAGTAGTGCCCTTCTCTTCTTTGGTTGGGAGGGTTCCCCTACCAAGATAGACTACGGCAAAAAGTTGGTACCCTTATTCTAAGCTCAGAGACCTAGGGTAACCCCAAAAATGGAACTTGCCCTGTGGAAACAAAGACGATTCCTGCGGTCCATATTCTGGTGGTTTAATTGGTTGACCCATTTACTGGCGAACCCCAGCTATTCACCAACAGGACACCTATGTGCAGCAGATTCATTTCATTTATGGCGAGCTCACCAATTCCGGGGCTGAAGCGAGGTCACCATGGCAAAAATCCTTTACTTGATCCCTTATTTCAGGTCTTATTTTGAGGGAACCGTTGTTTGGTGGTTTCAAAGGGAAACTAAAAGAAACTCCACGTTGTTTGCAAGGGGTCCCCTAAACCTATCTAGCTATAAGTCGTGAGAGCCCCTGGAAGAACGAACCAGAACCACAGAGACGAAAAGCTAGGTTATCCAGTAGTGCCCTTCTCTCCCTTTTTTTTTTGAGAGGGTTCCCCTACTAAAATCAAGTACAGAAAGAGGGCACCCTTATTCTAACCTCTCTACTGGAGGACCTAGAAGGGTCCCACTTCAATGCGACCTGGTACGTCAGGGATGGGGGTATGACATCTGCAGCAACTACAAAAAACAGTTCGAGTCCTGGTCCAAGCATTTGATTCGCGTTCGAAAGCTGGAGAAAACACATTTTTTTTTAGCACACATGGTGTGTGCTCAAATTTTTCCCAGCAAGAAGCACGATGAATTTGAGGGTCATGGACCATTTCAACCAATCCCAAGTTTCCGAATTTCCAGGGTGTTCTTCGGGCCATGGCCACGAAAAGGCACTAGGTGTCCCGGCTAGGTGCCCTCCTCTATCCCTTTTTTTGGGGAGGGTTCCCCTTCTATAAAAGACGTCACGTCTGCTGGAGGACCTAGGGCATGCCGCGCTATGGATTGGAGTCGGTCCGTTGGGAAAGCCTGTGAGGATCTTCTCAACTGGACTTTCGGTCCAAGTCGCCGTTTCCCCGCCTCTAACGACCGCTGGGGAACACTCGGGTCCAGGATCGGGGTTGATCAATATTCCCTTGGGCCCCCAACTCACCATAGGTAACTTCTCCCATGTGGAAATCTTAGTGTTCTTTCACAAGATTTCTCCCTGGTCCCTTGAAACGACCACTTTCCTAGGTTTCCCAAATCCGTTGGACATGGCTTCCCTGGAAACCCTGTTTGAAGGGTAGCCAAAGCCCGTCAGAGGAACCTCAGGTTTCCGTGTACAAGGGCAATTGAGACTCCGGAGAGTGCTTGCTTGGACGACTTCCAGATGAGACTCGGGTGGTTGCCAAGCCTAGGTGGTCTTTGGTACCATTTGCCAAGATGCCACTAGGTTCCCCCAGTAAGCCCTTTTACCCTTTTTCTAGGGGAGCGTTCCCCTAAAATAAACTACAGAAAAACAAGACGGTACCCGTATTCTAACCTCTCTACTGGAGGATCTAGGCCAGTTTGGGCGTCACTTTGTTGAGCCACAGCCACATGCTGATCTCAGCATGACGAGCGTCAGGGCGAGGTGCGGCCCGGCTTCCGATGCGATGAGCCAGGCTTGGATGGGTCTCGAAGTCTGAAGTCTTGTGGTTCCCGGGCATCTGTTGTTGTCTTCTTCTTTTTGTATTTTCATTTTTTCCTTATTATTATTTGCCTTCTGTTTTTTCTTCTTTTTTAGATCTGTCTGTATCTTTTTAGGTCTTTTTAGATCTTGTTAGATCTTTTTAGATCTTTTTAGGTTTTAGTGGTTGGGTTTCCAGTCTTCCATGTGCTGAAATGAATATGTTTTTTCCCCTGTTGGTTTAGGGAGTTTAGGGAATCTATCACGACTGGACGCATTTTTTTTTTCAGGGGACTTAAGCAAATGGAAGAAGTTTGGTTTGTGTTGCTGGTGCGATAGGGATTGAGGAAATGAACCGTTTTGGGATTCCCGAAAAAAGGAAACCGCTGGTTGGATGGTTTGTAGGGGGTCATTCCCTCATTGCCTGCTGAGAACCAAACTGATTACTTTGAAGGGGCTCTCCAAACATTTGGGGTTTTCCCTCTAGACCACAAGTAGGACAAATCCGTGTGGTGTTTTGCTAGTGAACCGAGACCATGGGCTTCATCGGCTGCTGAAGGGGGCAATGTTCAGGAAGTCCTGGGAACCTTATGAGAAAAAAGCAATACGCGCTGCGCGGGAGAAGCAGCTATAACCACCTTAAACAAGCCCAACAGTCCAAACCACAAAAAAAAACAAACAACTCAAAAAAATCCGCGCCGCGTGGGAAAAGCAGCTATAACACAAACACCTCAGTAGGAGAACCCGAAACGAAAAAATCGGCCGCGATTAAGTCGCCTCGAGGCGGCGAGGGCCAGGCGGAGGATCTGGCCAGCATGGCGTTTCGCTCCTCAGCAGAAGTTGTCGGGAAGGGTGCCGAGGCGTGTTTCGAGCGCCTTCGAGGTACCCATTTAGTGAATGCGCGACCAGGAATGAAGCCCAGTTTGGAGGTATTTCTAGTCTGGAGCCAACTCCAGCTTCGCTCCAGCTTCTGAAAAGTTGGGATGGAAAGCGTTTCAATCCCCAACCCATTTTTTGCACCCCCATGAGTCAAAAGTCAAAACGTGCTTAGGTCGCTTGTGTGTTGGAACTCTGGGAGGACAAGGCCTGGAGAAAGGTGTGGGGACCCTCAAGGCAGACCTTTTTGGGGGCTTTCTGGGGTGGAGGCGCAACCACATAGTGCCACCCCCAAAAAGGGTGATTGGTTGGTTATGGTTGGTTGTGTTACGGGTTGAAGGAGTTTGCTTTCGAACCGCGCGATGCGTGCCTTTTCACCCGAGAGGCCGTGTTCAAAGCAGTGAGGGCTAGCCAGGTGACCCAAACTGGGTCTGAGAAATGGCCCTTGGCTTTTTTTTGGTTGCTTGAGGGTTGTGCCAGTATTTTCTTTTTCCTACTTGCAGACGCACCCAACTCTGGTTTAAAAAACAAAACGCCTTGAGGGGACCTGAGGTATGGACCATGTCTGGAGTTCCAAGAAGCAGGTTCCAGCTTGGCGCACAAAGTGATGCGTGTAGCATGCGACAGGAACCCCATTTCTTAGAACCCATTTGAGTTCACCATTGCCCCAATTGGACATGTCCCAAGCTCCTTGTTTTTCAGCCCTCCTCGTAGACCTTCGGGTGTAGTTATGAACACTGGGACTTCGCTTCTCATTGGTCTCGTCCAGCGGTATGAAAAAAGTCGTTGAGATGTGGAAGGTGTCCTTTGAAATCAATCTGCATAGCCGAGAATTCATTGGCGAATCGTGAAAGGCTCATCCGTCAAGGAGCCGCAAGCGGCATTGCACAGCTCAGGAAAGCTGGAGTTTTCCATCCTGCCTCAGTCTAGCAGCCTGCGACGCGGCGGCAATGGCGTTTGTTTCTTTAACTCACTGGTCAGCGGGCAAGCACAATTTTGAAAACATTCGGGCAGGCCGAACTTTCGCGCGGTGCCCAGTCCACCAAAACAAGCAACTTGCCCATGCCTGCCGGAAAAAGAGCACTCCCTACGTGGCCCAAAAGGAAACTGGAGGGCAGTTGGGTTTTATGTCTTCCATTTTCCCTTTGGTGTGGATCAGACCTTGGAATTGGGCCACCCTCCTGCCACATGAGGAAAGCAATGTGGGGCTATTCGGGTGTGAGAAGCATCTCGCTGCCAGCATTTCGTTGCCAAAGCGGCCTTCATGGTTCGAGGATGTGTTTTGCGGGCACGTGTTTCTTCACTGCATTCCAAGCTGAGTCAATCTTACCTGTGGGATGTCCAGCCATCCACCGTGTTTTACACCCTGTGCGCTTGTTGTGGTCATTACCTAACACCCTCAACCCCCTCTCCTCCTGAAAAAGGAACAAGCGTGTTGGTGCAACATATTTGCGACACTAACCCCCCGCAAGCAGAATGAGATGAGGCGCTTGGCGCGCGTCATTGCCCATTGGCCCCCCTCTCGGCTCCACAGAGAAACAGGTCAAAGACAAATGTCGAAACGCGTACGATTGGGTCCATAGGCAAACAGATCCAGTATGATCCATGTCTTTCATAGCCCCGTTTGGTCAACAGATTTTGACCCTGAAGACAAACATCCAGAATTGAGGTGCTTGGAGTGGTGTCGTACTTACGGGGCTACAGTGGTGGTTCGCCCTTACCTTTCTGCCCTGCAGTTTCCCCGAGACGGGGAAATTGGAGCGTGATTCAGCTGAAATTCGGGTGGGCCCTATGCTGTTTCCCGAGGTATGTAGCTGGGGTCGACCACTTTCTCCTTTTTGTACCCCAGTTTTCCTATCAAAGTCAGAAACTGGAGTTGTTGCCCCTACCACTGGGACTTTTTCTGATGGTAAGATCCTTGACGCTCCCACCACTTGGCTGCGGGTCAAAATTAAAAAGCTGGGGCAAACCGCAGGTTTTGGTCTACCTTTCCATTTACCAGGGTTCCATTTTGGACCCCTATTTCTGAGCCACACCCACGTGTCCGAAGCTCGACGATCCGCCGGGACCGCCGGTGTCCCCATCCAGCCCTTCCGGCGCGCGAACAGCTGCCGGGCGGGCGAGAGAGAGAGAGGCGCGGACGATAGAACGCCCGCTGAGGTACTGCGACGCGAGCTCCCCTTGCGGTTTGAGACATCATTTTTTTGCTGGCCAAGTGAAAGTAATCCCTGGTTGATTTCTTGGGGATGTGGAAGTTTAGTTGGACTCCAGATCAGTTTTAAGGGGCACCACCTATCAATTCAACAGGATGGCCCAGTTTATCAATCTCGATCGACATTGCCATCCGACTCAGCCACTGGCAAAGCTGAAGGATTTGTAGACGCACGACTTTTAAATGGCTTCGGGCAGACCACTTGAGTACCAGGTTTTTGATTTCAGCTCAACTGGCAAAGTTCTCATGGTGGAGCATGCGCCGAAAAGGCAATTCCCGTTTTATGAGGGTTTGGGTAACTTGCGGGACAAACACCCATAGACTGTGAGAGCTTAGAGTTGCGTTTATGCCGTATCCCGCGGACAGCTTTTCGCTGGCATCAACGCACCACTAAGCGAAGGACTAGATGTGCCTGGGGCCCGGAACGGCCCATTTTCCACCTTTCCCCGTCAAGCAGGTTTTATCATAGATTCTCTTGCTGGCGCGATAGGCAGGGAATGAGAAATGGAATTGACCCTTCTGAGCCATCCCAGTGGTCTCCTTTACGGGGACCAAAGCCTGGATTCATGTCCACATTCCCGGCAAGACGAACCAAGCTCCTTTCGATTTGCTTAAGTTTGCTGGAAAAGAATCAACATATGTCCAGTGATAGATTCTAGGTCCCCTAGCACTGCCCTGCCACCTTTTTGTTGGGGGAGGCTTCCCCTACCAAAATCGACCAAACCGAAGCAAGTCGGGTCCCCTTATTCTGATTTCTCTCAAATCTGGAGGACCTAGGATTCCTTTAACCCCAAAATCATTTGGCCGATCCATGGCCTATCCTGCCCTCGCTGGTCGCTTGGCCAGGCTTTTGCCATGGGCTGCAGGCGCGGATCCATCCGCTTTTTCCGAAAGCCGAGCTGTTGGGATGGGATGGGATGGGGGTGTTTCTTGTTGCTCCGGTTGTGGCTATTGGGCAAAAGTGTTTGTGTTGGAGTTGGTACCCCTTTCGTTGTGGTTGAAAAGGAACAACATGAACGTCGACATGAACTTTAGGAGGCCCCCGAACTAAGTCACACCCATATTGTAGTATTGGGCGTCAAACCAGGCCAAGACTTCAAGAGTTTCAGGCAGTCACATGGCAGCATGCATGAGCCAGACCCTGAAAGCGAAAAAATGTTACAACACGTCTGTGTGTGTGTGTTACTGTATGTCTATTTGTGTGCGCGAAAAACAACAAACACAAAAAACAGGGGTTGAGCCCAAGGACCCCCCCAAATATATATAAATATAAATATAAATATATATATATATATATATGTATATAAACATATAAACATATAATAAAGATCAAGCAATCTCATGTTTAGAGGAAGCACTTCTGGGACCATGGGGGTCCTTTTGGGAGAAAAAAGGGGAGGGCAAGTGAAACATGATGGAAAAGTTGGGGCTGAAACCCCCAAGGCCCTACAAGTTTCAAGGGGTTGATTCCGTTTCAATTCTAAACCAACCATCGTTCTTTTCTCCAAAACCGATGGCTGTTTTCGGACCAGGGTTTTTGGGGCGTTTTTCTAAGATTCGGATGCCAGGGTTCAGAAAGGAACTGGAAGCTACCCTTAGAAAGTTGGTCAGAAAAAAGTGGCCACTGGCGGTTGGAGACTCGATCGCAGGGGCTGCCTGGATGCCGGAGGCGCTGGTCGCCTGCAACAGGCGGTTGGGGGGAACCAGATTTTCCTCAGGCGAATCGGGGGGATTTGGAGGTCGTCCATGTGCTGAAACAACAATATATGGTTTTATTTGATTTTCCCCGGTTGGTTTTAAAGGGAATCTATTTCACTACTGGACATTTTTTTAAACGTATTTTTCCCAGGAGTTTTAAGCAAATGGAGGCAGGTCTCCATTTATTTCTGCATGTTTTTTTTGGCGAGCTCACCGATCCACGAGCAAAACACACTTGCCATGGTAAGATCCCTTAACACTTGCAGATCCACTTCTTACGTCAGGTTTTGGATTCATTGTAAACAATGGTCTCGTTTTTCCTTTTTTGGACCCGACAAATGGGGCGGGACTCCCCAAATTTCAACCAGTCTCATCACCGGAAAAAGTCCCAGCCACAATCAGGAACACAGATGAAGGCCAGTCAGTATGTATGGGCCAGTTGGAGCCAAGGTGCGAATATTTGATTCTTTACACGAGCCACTTGCTCAAAAACCGGGTAGATGAAGGTTGGTAAGGGACAATCCCAACCACAAATAGCTGCGGCCGCCTTCTTAATTCTTGAAGCATGGTTCTGGGTCGACCATTTTAATGCCGGGTTTTGATTGTGACTCACATGTGTTGGGCAGACTCTTTGCCAGGTTTTGATTGCGCCATTGGTTTACGTCATGTGGGCGTGCAGGTTGGGCTGGCGAGCTGGTGATCAAGAGAGGCATTGTAGCGTCCCTAATTACCTCCAACCTCGCAAGGTGCTCAGAGTCCCTGGATCACAGCCCTTAGATGTGCAAGCCATTCATTGGTAGGCTAGAACCACGGTTATGGTAGGGTTTTGGGCGGGTTATGGCCACTCGCTCGCCATTTGGCAAAGTCCCCTTATTGGGGAGCCATGAGTCCACTGGGGAGCCATAGCCCCAGACCATCTAAGCAGAAGCCATCCACTGATGAGTCCACTGAGGGGTGGGAAGGCATTGCCGATTGCCAGGTGGATCAGCGCCTGCGGGGACTGGGAGAAGGCTGTGGCCCTCTTGGCCGATCTGCCGCGCCGCAGCTTGGAGCCGGACAAGGTGAGCTACACCGCGGCGCCTCGGCGCGAATCCGGCGGGTCCGGCGGCTTTGGCAAAGTCCTGGACGGCTCTGTCCAGGAAGCCACCCGTGGAACAACTAGGTCCCCCAGTGGTGCCCTTTTACATCCTTTTCCCCGAAAATAGACTACACGAAAAAGGGCACCCTTATTCTAACCTCTCTACTGGAGGACCTAGAACAAGGTCAGGTGGTATTTTGAACCGCATGCGGTGCTCTTTCTTGTGCTTGGCCCGACCGCAGCCTGGGAAGCAAACCAAGGATTCAAGTCGCCAATCAAAGCGCACCGCCGGTTTTGCTTCGGATGCCGCTTTACCTGTACAAAGGCACAGCCGACGGTGCCCGACCGAGGCCCGACGGTGCCAGCGGGCCCCGGTCGGGCCCGACGGCGCAATCGAAGCTCCAAACTGCCACCGTCGCCCGTTTTGCTTAGGGTGTTTGAACTGTAGAGCAGCAGCCTTGTGGAACCCTTGTGGCACCCTTGTTGTATTGAAAGCAGCACTTTTCTTATCAGCACCCTGATTCCAACTGCATTTTCAACCATGTCCAAAATCCCAAGTATGGTATCCCAAAAGCAGTTGTTGGGAGCCGGGATTCTACCATGTCCTATTTCAGGTTTGTCTTTCTTGCACTCCGGGTACTTTCCCTTGAAACTCCTTGGCGATTTTGAACAAGGCAAACATTCACATCAAGCTCGGAGTGACCTGCTGGTTTCCATGCAGTGTTTCGCACTTGGCTTTTGCCATTCTGAGGGCATGCCTCTAAACTTCAGAGGCATGCCCTCAAAATGGCAAAAGCCATGGTTTTGTTTTTGACCATCTGCTCGATCGGACGTGATGTTGAGACTATGTTTCTAAGGCTTTGGTTACAGGGATCCCTGAAATTCTGAATTCGCTTCCTTCTGAATTGGCTTCCCTTTGAACCCTCCATTTTTGAGGCAACCGGTGCA